GCCCAGCCAGCCGCGGCCGCGGCCGCCGACGCGCCGCTGCCGGGGCCGGCGCTTCGTTCCGTGGAGGAGAAGCCAGGGCGGCCAAGGGCGCCCGGTCCGCTGCGTGGAGGAGGTCCGCCGAGGAGCATCGGGTAGACGTCTGCCAGGTGGCCGAGCATCGATCGCGGCATGTCGGTCGCTCCGAGCGCGTGGTCGCGAAGCTGGTCAAGCAGACGCCGACGCGCAGCAGCCAGGGGGCTCGGCGGAGGTGGCCTGGCTGGCGATGGCCAACGGCCTGCGCGCGGTGGCGAAGTCCCAGCAGCCCAGGGAGCGGGTCTCGGCGCTGCGGGGCTTGCCCGCGCTGGCGCGCCGCGCCCCCCGGCGAGTGCGCGAGGGTCGCGGCCGCGCGGGCGGCCGCGTCGACTGCAGCGCCGACAGATGCGCAAGCAGAAGGGCAACGAGGCGAAGGAGGGCAAGGGCTCGATATCCCAGCGCCCGCGCGAGAGGAGCTCGAAGGCGGGCGGCGCTAGACTGCCCGCCCGGACCCCGGCGTGGCGAAGGGGCAGGCCACCGAGCTCTCAGCGTTCGTGCCAATCCTTAAAGGCGGCGCGCCGCCCATGGCCCCGGCGTGGCGAGGCGTTAGGCCGCCGAGCAGTGCTGGGGTGCGTGTGGGGCCAGGCTCCCCCCGCCTGGCCCGGGCCGGGCTTGGGGCCCGAAGCTTGGGCCGCGTAGTGCGCGGCGGTGAGCGCGCGAGGTGGCGCTGGTGCGCCCCGCGCGCGCGGGCTCGGGCGCCGTGTATCACGTGTTCGGGGTCGGAGATCTCGACGGCCATGCCCGCGCGCGCGGGCCGCCGCCCCCGCCCAGGGGGGATGGCCGCGCGCCTTGTGCGTGGCCCTTCCTTCGCGCGCGGCTGCTTCGTGCCGCGGCAGCGAAGTGATTTTTACCTAACAGCTTGTTCTGATAGGTTTCTAGTGGTTTCAAAAGAGAGCAGCAGATGACTCCACAGGGGGGTCTGGGCGGGTGCCGGACAGGGTGCCGCAGAAGTCGTTTTAAGCTAACAGTCACACACTTCGTGCTCTTCGACCTCCCAGAACTCCATTCCCAGGCCACATTTTGGATGCCCGGAGCCAACTGTAGGCCACTTCGTGCTCTTCGACTTCCCAGAACTCCATTCCCGGGCCACATTTTGGATGCCCGGAGCCAACTGTAGGCCACTTCGTGCTCTTCGATTTCCCAGAACTCCATTCCCGGGCCACATTTTGGATGCCCGGAGCCAACTGTAGGCCACTTCGTGCTCTTCAAGTTCCCAGAACTCCATTCCTGGGCATGATTTTGAATGCCCGGAGCCAACTGTAGGCCACTTCGTGTTCTTCTAGTTCCCAGAACTCCATTCCTGGGCCACATTTTGAATGCTGAGGCAGGCTGATGCTGCGGCCGAGGCAGGCTGAGGCTGAGGCAGGCTGAGGCTGAGGCCGAGGCTGAAGGCAGACTGAGGCTGAGGCTGAAGCAGACTGAGGCTGAGGCTGAGGCAGGCTGAGGCTGAGGCTGAAGCAGGCTGATGCTGAGGCAGGCTGAGGCTGAGGCTGAGGCTGATGCAGGCTGAGGCTGAGGCAGGCTGAGGCTGAGGCCGAGGCTGAAGGCAGACTGAGGCTGAGGCTGAAGCAGGCTGAGGCTGAGGCTGAGGCAGGCTGAGGCTGAGGCAGGCTGAGGCTGAGGCTGAGGCTGAGGCTGTGACTGCGACTGCCGTTGCCGCTGCGACTGTCATCGCGAATGCGACTACGACTGCGAGAACAGCAAAAATTCTACAACTGGATTTTCATCTGAATCTGAAGGGGAATGCTTTCAGATATGCTTCTACATATCGCTGTTAGGTTGCTTTGCCGGGATAATTTACCTAACAGCGAAGACTGATAGGTTTCTAGTGGGTCAAAAGAGAGCAGCAGATGACTCCACAGGGGGGTCTGGGCGGGTGCCGGACAGGGTGCCGCAGAAGTTGTTTTAAGCCAACAGTCACACACTTCGTGCTCTTCGACCTCCCAGAACTCCATTCCCGGGCCACATTCTGAATGCCCGGAGCCAACTGTAGGCCACTTCGTGCTCTTCGACTTCCCAGAACTCCATTCCCGGGCCACATTTTGAATGCCCGGAGCCAACTGTAGGCCACTTCGTGCTCTTCGACTTCCCAGAACTCCATTCCCGGGCCACATTTTGAATGCCCGGAGCCAACTGTAGGCCACTTCGTGCTCTTCGAGTTCCCAGAACTCCATTCCCGGGCCACATTTTGGATGCCCGGAGCCAACTGTAGGCCACTTCGTGCTCTTCAAGTTCCCAGAACTCCATTCCTGGGCATGATTTTGAATGCCCGGAGCCAACTGTAGGCCACTTCGTGTTCTTCTAGTTCCCAGAACTCCATTCCTGGGCCACATTTTGAATGCTGAGGCAGGCTGATGCTGCGGCCGAGGCAGGCTGAGGCTGAGGCAGGCTGAGGCTGAGGCCGAGGCTGAAGGCAGACTGAGGCTGAGGCTGAAGCAGGCTGAGGCTGAGGCTGAGGCAGGCTGAGGCTGAGGCTGAGGCAGGCTGATGCTGAGGCAGGCTGAGGCTGAGGCTGAGGCTGATGCAGGCTGAGGCTGAGGCAGGCTGAGGCTGAGGCCGAGGCTGAAGGCAGACTGAGGCTGAGGCTGAAGCAGGCTGAGGCTGAGGCTGAGGCAGGCTGAGGCTGAGGCAGGCTGAGGCTGAGGCTGAGGCAGGCTGAGGCTGAGGCTGTGACTGCGACTGCCGTTGCCGCTGCGACTGTCATCGCGAATGCGACTACGACTGCGAGAACAGCAGAATTCTACAACTGGATTCTCATTTGAATCTTAAGGGGAATGCTTTCAGATATGCTTCTACACATCGCTGTTAGGTTGCTTTGCCGGGATAATCTCCAGCGCATAAGGGCACCGAAACTCATCGCTTCGCTAAACCGAACCCGGGGCAAGCAGTTGGGGCCGAATAGCTGCTGTGATGCAACGTAGGTCTCGTACTTTCAGGCGCCAGACGCCGCCCCGTTCCCTTTGAGGGCGGCAAGCCAGGAGATGGTCGCCACATCTGCGCCCCCAGAACTGCTCTTTGAGGCGCCGGGCGCGGCCCCCTTGCCCAAGGGCCGCGAGCTGGGAGATGGGCGGCATTGGGCCCGCGGGGGGGATGGGGGGGCTCGGGGCCCTGGGCGCCCGTGCGCTGGCGGCTGGTGGGCAGGCCCCCTTCTCCCCCCCTTTCTTTTCTGCTCGGCTTCTGCCCCAGTGCCCTGCGCCGTCTTCGCGCGCGGCGGCCCTGCGCGCTGCCGCGCGTCGGCGGGCCCCCGCCGAAGCGGCCCAGCGCTCGCTCAGGGAAGGCCTCGTGTTTCACGCGCAGTGGCTGCGTTTCTGGCGGATTTGTTTCGATGGTGGCCGATGGGCTGGCGAGCGCGCCGAAAGGGCGCGCCGCCTCAGCGCCGCTGCGCCGCGCCATGGCAGCGCGAGCCCAGCAGGGGCTCGCGCTAGGGAGTTGGGCGCGTGGCTGACTTTGTTTAGTGCGCGCGTGCCAGCGCGTAACCTGGATAGTTTGGTTGTTTGAGACAACAGGTTATGTGCGGCGGGAGTGGGGATTTTACTGTGCCCATTTTGGCCCCGCAGCCGTGGCGCCCGAGCCAGCAGGGTTGCCCGCCCACCCCGCCGTGCTCCCTAGTGGCCCTCTCTTGGTCCTCGGCTTGGGCTGATGGGCCGGCGAGCGTTCGCGCGGGCCTGCCGCGGTCGCTCGCGCAGGCGCGCCGCGGGGATCGCGCGCTGGGCGGATCGCGGCGCGCCTTGGCGATGCTCGCTTCGCAGGTTGTCTATTATATTGATTTGGGCACCGCGCTCGTGCGGCGCTCGCGCGGCGCGGGCCCGTCGGCCGTTCGCTGCCGCCGCCGCGGTGTCGTCGTCGTCGTGGTCTTCGTCCGCGTTTCGCCCCTGCGGTCGTCGGGCGTGGCCGCCGCCGCCGCCGCGTCGCCGCCGCCGCCGCCGCCGTCGCTGCGCCGTCGCCGTCCGCCGTCGCCGCGGCCCGCCGTCGCTGCTGCGTCGCCGCCGCTGGCGCCGCCGCTGCCGCCGCGTCGTCGTCGTCGTGTCGCGTCGCTTGTTCCTGGCTTCGTGCCGTCTCCTGCGTGGCCCGGCGTCGGTGGTCGCGCGCCTGTGTGTGTTTTTGCTTTGCTTCCCGTTCGCGGGAGTCCACGGTGCTATTGACGCACCCGCACTCGGGCGACCCGACCGAGGGCGATCCGACAGCGCGATCATAGCGCTTGAACAGGCGACCCGCTCGAGGGCGTCCTGTCGTTGGGCTACCCGACCTAGGGAGTCCCAGCGGTGCTACTGACGCACCTGCACTCGGGCGACCCGATCGAGGGCGATCCAGAAGCGCGGCCATTGCGCTCGGTTACAGGCGACCCGCCCAAGGGCGTCCTGTGGTTGGGCTACCCGACCGGGGGAGCCCCAACTGTGCTACAGACGCACCCGAACTCGGGCGACCCGATCGAGGGCGACCCGACAGCGCGACCATAGCGCTTGAGTACAGGCGACCCGCCCGAGGGCGTCCTGTTGTTGGGCTACCCGACCTAGGGAGTCCCAACGGTGCTACAGACGCACCTGCACTCGGGCGACCCGGTCGAGGGCGACCCGACAGCGCGACCATGCGCTTATGTTCAGGCGACCCGCACGAGGGCGTCCTGTTGCTGGACTACCCGAACGAGGGAGACCCAACGGTGCCACCACCGCACCCGCACAACGGTCCGTAGCGCCGGCTTTGCCGTCGCAAGCGCGCCCGCCCTAGCGCGGGCGACACATTTTCGCCGCCCCAAAGTCGGGCAAGTGTGGTGTCACGTGTTCGTGCATTGTCCCGTGGCGCGCGCGCTCTCGTTGGTCCTGCGTGCTCGCCCGGCTGGACGATTTCGGTCCGTAGCTGTTTCGCTCGAGCGAGTGAATTGCTTACCTTCCCGTCGTGCGCCCTCGTGGTTGGCTCCACTGCCGCCTGCCATGTCCGCGCCGCCCCTCGATCTTCTCGAGTCTGGGGTGGACAGGCGCACGAAGCGCGACCGCGCGTGGCTGAAGCCAGTGGTCGAGGTGCTGGCGACCAACGGCATCGAGAGTCCGGAGGACCTGGTCAAACTCAACGTCAGGGCCGCGACCTTCCAGCTCAACGGGCTGGTCGAGGGCAAGGTCGCTTTTGCTTTCCTCGAGCGCGCCGTCGCAAAGGCAACCCAGTCCGCCGAGGCCGCGGCGCCAAGCGGTTCACAGGAGCCGGTGAGCGCCCTCCTGCAGACGCTCCAGGGCGGCCGCATGCCAGCGGTCCACGTGGACATCGCCGCAGGCCTGGGCGGCATGACCTTGGCGGGCTTGCCAGCGTCGTGCTGGCCGTCTCCGCAATTGACCGACTGGGTGCAGGGCCAGGTCAAGGCCGCGGAGAGCAAGGGCATCACGAAGCCCTTCCTCTACATGCCGATCAAGAAATTCCTCCCGTACTACGCGGCGGACAAGAGGCAGCCCGACGATCCCGAGGGGGAGCGCGGCGTCGCGCGGTCCTTCGCGCAGGAGATCGCTCGCGGCATCTGCCAGGCGAGGGGCCCCGACAAGAAGCAGGGGGACCTGCCGAGCATCCTGCAGTGGTGCGTCGCGTTTGACAGATGGGCAATCGTCGCGGCGCTCACCGGTCAGATGCCGCTCGCGGCGTCCATGTCCCACAAGGAGGTCGTGATGCAGCTCGCCCTGTCGGCGCGGGCCTGTGGGCGCACGACCGCGATCGCCGTCCTCTACGACGAGATCGCCCGGCGCGAATGGGCAGACCTTTCAGCGGGCCTGGGCGCCTTCGACGTCGCCGCGGCCGCGCAGTCGCAGAACGCGGCCACAGTGCTCCGGGCGGAGCGCGAGTGCGACGCCCGCGGGTTCCAAGTGGTGCACGACCGAGCTCCAGCGCAGTCGAAGGGCAAGGCAAAGGGCGCCGGCAGGGGCCACGAAGGCGGCAGCGGCCACAGCGCCAAGGGCGGCAAGGCCAAGGGCTACGGCAAAGAGCACAAGGGCAAGCCCGCGAACGACTCTCACCGCTGGCAGGGGCATTACTCGTCCGGGAGTGCCGCCAGCGGGGCGCAGGCGCCGGCGACGCCAAGCAAGCGCCAGAAGAGAGAGTGAGGGGCCGCAGCCGCCCGCCCGTCGCGGGGGCAGCACTCCCCGCGCACCCTGCGCAGTCAGCCGCGGAGCCAGTGGGGGTCCAGTCAGGTGCAGTTCTCCCCAACACATCCTGCGCTGATCTGAGTTGCTTCCAGTCGGCATTCGACGCTGCCAGCGCGCAAGCTCTGCGCGGCGAATTAGCGCCCGACGAGGTCGAGGCGCTGCGTTTCACGCGTGAGGCGCTCGGCCGCCGCGACGCGCAGCCGAAGCGCACGGACGTGCAGTGCGAGTGCATGGAAGCGTTGCGGTGGAGCGCCGCGCGTAGCCTACGCCAGTGCATCAAAGAACGCGAGGAGCGCGTTCGGCGCATCGAAGCCCGGGCGGCGCACTTCGAGGCGTCCGGGGGGGGCCGAGGCCGCGAGAAAGGCTGCGCCACCGGAATTCAGGCCGCTTATCGCAGGCGTCAACATTCCACTTTTACAGGAATTGGCGCGTGAGTCTGAGTGGCACGACGCAGAGTGCATCGACTTCTTCCCGCGAGGCGCCCCTCTGTTGGGTAACCTAGAATATAGCGGCAACGGTCGCGCGCTCAGCCCGGAAGAGCGCGCGGGCGACACTGGCGCTGAGCTCGCCCGTTTGCGTGCCAGCGCGCTCGCGTGCAACGGCTTGATACTTGCATCAATTCGCGGGGATCCCCTCGCCAGCGAGCTGCTCCGTGAGACGCGGGAGGAGGCGGACTTGGGTAGGATGCCTCCGCCGCGGGCTTTTAGGCCCGACATCTCCGCGGCCGAGCTTGCCGCTGCTTGGGGCGAAACAATTCGTCTGGTGCCCAGGTTTGGGGTCTCGCAACCGAAGCCCGACGGGTCGCTGAAAGTGCGCCCGGTGGATGACTTCACGCGCTCCAGGGTGAACGGCGCGTGCGCTCCCGCCGAGAAATTAAGCGTAGAGGGCGCGGACCAGCTGGTAGCGGTCGCGCGCGCCTTCTTCGAGTTGCACGGCGCACTTCCCGAGCTGTGGAAAGCGGACATAGATTCCGCTTACCGCCGCATCCCGTTGGCCCCCGCCGATATGTGGGCCGCTGTCAGTGTTTTCAAGGAGGGCGGCCGCCTGTGGTGCTCGCAGCACCTGGTCTGCCCGTTCGGCGCGCTAGCATCTTGCCACGACTGGGGCCGCGTGGCCGCCATGCTCTCGCACTTCGCAAGGCGGCTCGCCCAGCTGCCAGTTGGGCGATACGTAGACGTTTATTTTGCGCCGGATCGCCCCGGCGCGGCCGACCACGCCATGCGGTGCTTCGCTCGCATCGTCAGAGTCGCGCTCGGCAGCGACGCAGTAGCCGACGCGAAGCTGGCGCACGGGGCCCAGCTGGTCGTGTTGGGGCTGCTCTTTTCTTTCTGTGCGCAGGGCGTACACTGCGAGCCAGCGTGCGACAAGCGGCTCAAGTGGTCGTCCGCCATCCGGCATGCTTTAGAGTGCGGCGCGTTGCACCAGGGCGCTGCGAAGAAACTCGCGGGCGCTCTCGCATGGGCCGCGCAGCGCTTGTTTAAGCGCTTGGACAGAGCAATGCTCCGCCCACTCTTCGCGCACCAGCACAAGCGCTCCAATCGTATCGGGCGGCCTCTCGAGCTCGCGCTGCACTGGTGGGCCCAAGTGCTCGAGCTCAGGCTGCGCGAAGTGGCCAGCTGGAAGCAAGGGGACATGCCTGCGGCACACATGTTCTGCGATGCGCGGAGCACGCCCCCTCGCGCCGCCGCCGTGATTTTTATAGACGGCAAAATCCTGTTTACCGAGTACGCACCCGACGCAGCTCTGATGCGGAACTTCAAGCGCAGACGCGACGGCCAGATTATGGGCCTCGAGGTCTTGGCGGTCGCATTAGGCTTGTCGTCTTTTGAAGAGCGACTGGCAGGTCGGGCGCTGGAAGTGTTCTCGGACAATTCGGGGGCCGAGAGGTCAGTGGCGCGCGCGAGCGCCCGGGACTGGGATCACGCAGCCCTCGTCCGCGGCATTTGGTCTCTCGCGGCGCGCATGTCCCTGTCGATGTGGGTGCGCCGCGTCCCGTCCAAAAGCAACATCTCGGACGGGCCGTCCCGCGAGGTCTACAGTCTCTTGCACCTGCTCGGCGCGCGCCAGGTGCCAGCGGTGCTCGATGCGCGGTTTCACGCAGCCGAGGCCTGGGAGGCGCTGTGGCTCTGAGCAAAAAGAGGGAGGGCTCTCATCGTCTGTCGCTTCCCTGCATCATCGGTTGCGTCCGCGTGCAGGTTGGACGCCGCGCTGGGAGCGCCCGGCGTCTTCCGCTCCGCGTCCGCGCGCGCCGCACTGGGAGTGCGGTCCCTTCTTCCCCCCCTCCCTCCTCTCGCGCCGGCCCCCCCTTCCCCCCCCTGTGCCTCCGCCCTTCGCCCCCCTTCCCCCTCCCCCCTCCTCCTCCCCCCCGCGCCCCCCCCGGTCGCGCGCCGCCACTGCAGCCAGCGCCGGTCGCGCGGCGAGGGGGGGGCGTTCCTGCTCGGCCGCGCGTCGCGTTTCCGATCGTTTGTCGTCTGGTGGCGTGGATGTGACGCGCTTGGCGCTTGGACTGCGCAGGGCGGGCGTGCCTGGCGTTCCGGCCATCGCGCGCGCCGCCAGGCTCAGTCGCTCGTTTTTCGCGCGCAGGCAATGATGTGGAAGTTGATCTGATTGCAAATGTACTGGTCGCGAACGGTTTCGAACACGTCGCTGACGCACGCGGCGCAAAGTGGAAACGCGTAGCAGGTTTTGAGCGTTTCTCCGCAGACGCCCAAGCGCGCTTGCGTGAGATCGCGGCGGGAGTTCCGCGGCCGCCGAGCGGGCCGCCTCCAGCGCCGTCCCGTGTGCTGAAACAACCGGCGCTCGCGCGCGGCGGCCCGGGCGCGCTCGCGCCGGGTGCCGCGTGCGACAGCGCGGCGAAGCGAGAGCTGGCGCGCGCTTACAGGGCCGTGCGCAGCGTGAAATTGTCACCCGTGCCCACGGGCGGCCCTCGCAAGTCCGTCGCGAGCGGCGCTCGCGGGCCGCCGTCGCCAGTGGCCATGCAGGACAGCCCGGCCCGCGCGCGAGCTTTGGCAATCGTCGGCTCGGCGCCGCGTTCCTTCGGGTCCTGGGGGGCTGCGGTCCGGGCGTGGGTGGCTTTCGCGCAGCGTCGCCTCAACAGAGACGGCTGCAGCGCACTGCCGCCGTCGGCCGACGAGGTGTGCTTGTTCGCGCTCGAATTTCGCAACCCGCGCACCTTCGGCAATTACGTGGCACAGCTTAAGAAGGCATGCCAGTTGTTGGGCCGGGACGCGTCGGCCTTTTCGCATCCTTCGGTTAGGGGCGCCCGCAAGGCCATCGGGAAGCGGCGCCCCGTGAGGCGGCCGCTGAAGTGTTTCGTCCTGCTCTCGCACTTATCGGCTATGCTCGACGTTGTAAGTGCCGACAGCGCGATGTGCGCGCTCTTCTTGGTGTCCTGGGGGTTCGCTCTGCGCGTGCCCTCCGAGGCCCTCTTGATTGAGCGAGGCGACCCATCGGCATTTAAGGACTTCGCCTTCTCTGACGAAGACCTGCGAAGGCCAGTCGCAAGAGTCGTCATTTTCTTTTCGGGCGATTCTGCAACGTTGCATTTCTCGCGGCGTAAGCACCGCGACGGCCCGACGGTCGCGGTGCGGAATTCCTGGTGCAAGCATTCGCGTGCGACTTGCATTGTGCACGCGGCGCGTAGTTTTTTCGAGGGCATTTGCGTCGGCTCGCCCGCGTTCCCGCATATGCGGCGAGTCGACGGCAGCGGCGTCGTCTCAATCGCCGTGCCCGCGCAGCGCGCGATCAAGGCGGCGGCGCGGCACGACGGCGCACCAAGCGCGGCTTCTTTTACGAGCAAAGCGTTCCGCCGCGGGCACGCGGAGACCAGGCGGAGGTGCAACGGCCGCCTTTGTGAGATCCCCCGCGGTGCCGATTGGAGTTCCCGCGCTTTCAAAGAATGCCTTGATATGCGCCAGCACGAGGGCGATGCGACCGCCGAAGCAGCGGCCGCAGCCTCGTGCCCAAGCGCCGGCGCGGCGAGCAGACCAGGTTCTGCATCGGTGCCCGCGGGGTAAGTCGGCCAGGCTCACGATCGGCGCGCGCTGCGACCTGCACCCAGGGTTCCATTGGGTCGCGGCAGGCCTGGCGCGCCCCGACCAGGCGAGCCTGGGCGCTTGCGGCGTTGGGTTCAACGCCCAGGCTGGCCTGGTCGGGGACTGTGCGCGTCACCGAAAGCACCCCCCACGCGGGGCGCTCGCGGGACGGCAGCCCTGGCTCGGTCGCCGCACCCATCGTTGGGGCGTTGGCGCCCGAGGTCGGGTACACAAGGAAGGTGCGCCGAGATTTGTGGGGGGGCGCGCGCCCGCGGGGTGCTGCGCGGGCGCAAATCGCAGGTCGGCCGACGGGCCCTGCGGCGCCGCGGCGCGTGCGACGCGCGCCGCATGCAGCCCGACCGCAGCGCGCGCCGCCTGCAGTCGCGTCTTTGCGCTTCTGTGTTGTTTCGCGCGGGCCTGCCGCGGTCGCTCGCGCAGGCGCGCCGCGGGGATCGCGCGCTGGGCGGATCGCGGCGCGCCTTGGCGATGCTCACTTCGCAGGTTGTCTATTATATTGATTTGGGCACCGCGCTCGTGCGGTGCTCGCGCGGCGCGGGCCCGTCGGCCGTTCTGCCCCACCCACCCGCTCCTGGGTGCGGGGCTGCCTCGGTCGTTGGCGGCCCCTTGTCCGCCTCTCCCGCCCGCCCCTGGGGTTCAACGCCCAGGCTGGCCTGGTCGGGGACTGTGCGCGTCACCGAAAGCACCCCCCACGCGGGGCGCTCGCGGGACGGCAGCCCCGGCTCGGTCGCCGCACCCATCGTTGGGGCGTTGGCGCCCGAGGTCGGGTACGCAAGGAAGGTACGCCGAGATTTGTGACTGTGCCCATTTTGGCCCCGCAGCCGTGACGCTCGAGCCAGCGGGGTTGCCCGCCCACCCCGCCGTGCTCCCTAGTGGCCCTCTCTTGGTCCTCGGCTTGGGCTGATGGGCCGGCGAGCGTGCCGAAAGGGCGCGCAGCCTCCGTGCTGCCGCGCCGTGCCAGCGCGAAATTAGCAGGGGCTCGTGCTAAGGAGTTGGGCGCGTGGCCGACTTGCCACAAAACCATCAACCTTGTCTTTGTCTCGTCTTCGTCTCCTCCTTCCTCTTCCCTCCTCCTTTGTTTAGTGCACGCGTGCCAGCGCGTGGCCCTTTTTCCTCCTCCTCCTCCTCTTCCTCCTCTTCCTCCTCCCCCTCCTCCCCGTCCTCCTTCTCATCCTCGTTCGCTTCCCTCCATCTTATATATTCCTCTTTCCGTCCTTCGCCACCTCCTCTTTCTCTTCCTCCTCCTCCTCCTCCTCCTCCTCCTCTTGGAAACCTCGCCGGTACCCCCCCATCCATGCGCGCCCCCTTGAGAAACTTGACGGATCGATTCGGCAGCCTCCCTTGCCCCATTCAAAGTTGGTTCTTGACGGTGCCGCTGCCGCGCCGCAGGCTTCGATGCAACGTTGGGCTGTGGAGGGGGGGGGGGGCGCTCCGATGCGCGAAGACGGCCCCATTTCCAGGCATTCCTACGGAAACCCCGATGCGACCGCGAAGCGTTCCATGGAACCCATAGAAACTTTCGTGCAGCTTCTCGCCCGGAAATTGGGGGGCGCCGTTCGCAGCGGCCTGCGTGCAGCAGGCCGAAACCTCAGGAACGGGTCCAGCCAAGACCGCCTGTACCTTTCGAAGAAGAAACATATGCATCACCATCGACATTCGGGAGCGCGCGAAGCGGCGGGGATTGCCGCTGCCGCCAGGAAAAGGGCCCCGGGGCTTCGAGGTCCGAAGATCGAAGGCGCCTTTCCGTCTGAGCAGCCCGTGCAGTTTCTGGCCACCCCCTGCGATCGGAGACAAAAGGCGAAATCAATCTACACTTTCGGAGTCACGCGCGGATTTTTATTCCGCTTCTTGTTCTTCTTGTTTCTGGAGCCCTCCTCCTCCCTCCCCCCTCCCCATCATCCCCTGGGATCCCTCTCCTCCGCCGCCGCTGTGGCCAAACCCACCAGCGGGCAGCGCGGCATGACCCCCCGCGATGTCCCGGGATTCTTCCGGCATGGCGCGCGCGGCGGCGGAGGCGTGGCCCAACCCGCGCCGGGCAGCGCGGCGGCGGACGCCCCCGCGGCCGTAGAGCATCGGCAGGCGCCGCCGCGCGGCCACCGCTCCTCGGGAGGCGGCGCCGCGGCGCCCGCGCTGCGCGGGCGCGCCCGCGCGGCCCGCGACGAAGCGGCGCGCGAGGCGGCCGTCGGGCGCCCCATGGGCCGCGGCACGCCCGCGCACACGGTGCCGCAGGCGCTGCCGGCGGCGCCCCTGGGCAGCACGCGCTTCTACGAGACGCGAAGGAAAAAACGGCATGAGCCAGGATTCTTTCGGAGGTCCGCGCGGACTTCTGGATCGGCGCCAGGGCCCCCCTGGCGCGCTCCGCGCGCCAGAGTCGGGGGCTCGTGGAAGGGGGGGTTCGGCACGGGCCCAGGTGGATGCGCGCACCTCCCCCTTCCGGGGGTCGTCTCCACGCCCCCCCTGGCAGGGCGGGGGGCCCCCCGCGCCGATCCAGAAATCTGCGCGGACCTCCGGGAGCTCCTGCTGATGCCGTTTTTGGTTCCTCCACGAGACGCGGACCACGGTGCTCGCGGAGTGGCGGCCGCTGCCGCCGCGCCTCGGCGCCGCCTCGGGCAGCGGCGGCGGCGCGGCACCCGCACGGGGCGCGGGCGCGCCGCGGCCTCCTCCGGGGGAGGGCCGCGCGGGGGAGGAGGCGGTCGGTGGTCCAAAGAGGGGCTCCTGAGGTTCGTCAGGGGGTCCAAGGGTGGATGTTTGCATGGTTTGAGGCACCTCGTCCTGTGGACAGCCATCCCTCAGGACCCCATCTTTGAGCCACCGGGAGGCGGCTGCGACGGCGGCAGCAGCAGGTTCGGTAGGCGCAGGGGAGCGTGCCAAGAGAGGAGGAACCACCCCGGCCCCCAGAATCGGCGTTTACGAAACGGCCCTGGGCGTTTGCATCGCAGCCCTGCCCTGTTCGATTTCTTTGGCTGAGCGGCTTCGCTTGTCGGGGTGCGTCTCACTAGGATTTTTTCTGTTTCTGCTCTCTAGCTTTGGTCGGTCGAAGAAGAGTCATTTGCATAGTTATACACTTTTGAAACTCCGAGAATTTATTTTCATGCCGTTTTGTCGTCCCCTAGTCTAGTCCTCCCAGATGGGGTCCGAGTAGATGGGGTCGGAGGGTCGCGCCGCGTCGCCGATGCATCGCCGATGCGCCCCGATTTTCTCCACGTCGACGGCGCCGGTGCATTGCCGACGTTGCCGATGCATCCTCGATGCATTGGCGATGCATCGGCGATCGGGCGCGATCCTCCGACCCCATGTATTCGGATCCCATCCAGGAGGCCTCTAGTTAGTCCCGGGGATTAGTAGGATTCGAGTTCGCCAGAAGTCGGGCGTGTCGACGCTCTTTGATGGGCCCGTCCTGGGTTTTGACGTGTTCCCGTATCTGGTGGTTGTTTGTGGCGGGGGGGGGTCCTGGATTTTCGTGTGATTCTTCAGATTGTGTCTCGTCATTTTCCTGACGGCCGCGTCAGGCCAAACCGAGTCCTCCGAACCCAAGTCCCGCGCCTCCCCGATAGTCAAAAGAGGTACTTACCACCACGAGGTCCGCGCGGGTTTCTTGGATCGGCGCTGCCCCCCCCCTCAGTGGCGCCTCCAACGCCGCCCCTGGCGCGCGGAGCGCGCCAGGGAGGGGGGTCCCAGAGCCGTTCCAAGACGTCCGTCCGCTCGTACCTCCCCAAGTAAAATGTTTGTGCAGATCTCCAGACGAGAGGCACCTGCCGACAACGACGCCTCGCTCCAGTTTTCGCGTCTTGTGGCCTCCTGGAGAGCCCTCGTTGCCACGGCTGGATCCGCTTTGAGATCCTGGACCGAGCGCACCCCGCCTGGGAGAGGTCCGGCCCCAAGCTTATGATGTTCCAGCCTACAATAGCTTTGACCACCAGGGAGAATTCGGGCACCAGGAAAGTACCGAAACTTGAGGTCTTTCACGTGTCGGGCCCTGGCAGGCGATACTCGTTCGACACTTTTTCAATACTTTTTTGGAAACTCGACATTATTTCTGGGATGTGGTCCTTAAATGCGTCGGGAGCAACATAAGCCAAAGCAGCATCGGTATATATTTCTTTCCTCAAGGCACGGGGGAACACTGGGACGCGGCCGACTGGCAGAGGCTCTGCATACTGGCACGGGCGCTGGAAAGCTACGAGGCACGCGGGCTGGACCCGGACGAGCTGAGAGGCGTGCTCACGCTGTCTCGTGAGGTGCGCGAGGGCCTCGGGCGGCTCGAGAGGAGCGCGCTGGATCGATTGAGAGAGCAGAGCTGATGCTGGCGCTGGCTTTCAGCCTAGTCCGAGTGGACCCGCGAAGCCTAAGCCTAAGCCGAGATTGTGAGATATTGCAGGCTCGCCTAGGGCCTGTTTAGGCCTGAGCATGGCTTTCAGCCTAGGCCTGGGCCAGGCCAGCTCGCATTTGCGGCGAATTCTGCGTCCTTGCAGGTTTTTGTCACAGCACGCATTTGCAGGATGATTAAACACGAAGTGTTCCAGGTAGCACTTGTCAGTGCGTTGATGGCGGGGGGACCACGTAGTCTTGTCCCTTGGCCAAGTCGTTGGGGGCCGATTCGGTCTTATCCCACCGGCTCGTGGTAAGTGGGGTACATTCTGTCCTTATCCCGTGCCGTGGATCCCCCCCGTTGTCCTGACCAAAATCTGCCTATCTAGCTCCCTGAGTATCCTTCTGTATTGCACTATCGTCTCTCATTTATGCATCTCTTGACTTCCCTAATGGGCTGGTCTGGGTGCTTGTTGTAGCTACTATATCTGATGGAACAAAATCCAGGAGATGTTTGTCCGAGGGGGGTTGTCCGGGGGGGTTGTCCGGATCCTTGTGGGGTTGTCCAAGGGGTTGTCGGGGCCGCGTTGTCTTGCCAGCACGTGCGCGTATCATTATCACGCATACGCTCAAAAGTTTGGCACAACCAGGGAAGCCCAGCTGGAAATGTCGCCTCTCTTTCCCCTTTCCCTTCCTGTCCGTTCCTCGTCTCTCGCGCCCCTTTTCCGCTCCCGTTCGCACACCCTCCTGTGCTGCGCTTCCCCCCACAGCTGTGCTGACTGGGGTCCTGTTGTGGTAGAAGCTAGTCCTGGCCAAGGGGCCGGGGGTGGACTGGCAAGTTTCGCCAGAGACGGCCTCGCAACTCTGGGTTCGGAGATGCCCTGAACTGAGGTGGTTTGGTCAGTTTGGCTTGACGCATTCTCGCAACTTTGGGCTCGGAGATGCCAGCGTACCCGCATCTCATCTCTGGGCTCGGAGATGCAGCGCGCGAGGTTTTGGATCACATTCTTCCCACTGAACATAGTAAGTTATTCTGGGCATGCCATCCTCTCCGCCACTCTGCATGGCAAGGGCCACCTCCAGATCAAACGAAACTGCGACCTTCATCTGTGTGTTCCGCCGGGATTCCCGCCGCGCTGCCTTCTGTGACACGCTGCTCACGAGCAGGAGCTCACCCTGCCCACCCTCCCCTCCTCTCCTCTCAGGAGGAAAAGAAACACACAGACACAATTCATCGTCGATTCCCCAGAAAATGTGGGAGACTGTGGGAAGTGGGGGGGAAGACGGAAGCCCAGAAAACATGGGAAAGTATTTGGCAATCTTCTTATTTGTGTGTATTTATCTGTGTGTCCTGGGGCCCCTTCATCCTCGCCCTCCCCCTCCCGAGGGCGGAGGGGCGAGGGCCGGGCCCACCGGCCGCCGGCGAGGGCCGACGACGTCCTGCGCACGGCAACCTGGGCAGCACGAGAATGCGCGCAAGAAGACGCGTCAGCGCTCCCGGGCGCTCCCGGGGGCTCTCCGGGGCGTCTTTTGGGCCTCCCCTAGGCCGTTGGACAGCCCTCCAAGAGCGACCCGAGCCCGACGTCGATGCGGAGTCCCCTCTTGGGCCGACGTTTGGAGGGTGTCCCGCGCGAAACGGCTATGTTTCAGAACTCCGCCAGCGTGGTTCCGAAGTGCGCCCCGTGCCCCACCATGAATTTCTACCACCGACAAGCGGTCCACGCCAAGGGCGCTTCCCGTCATCCGTCAGCGCGATTGTTGATGAGAAGGGCATTGCATGCTACATTTGCACACGCGTTGTGCTCTTGCATTCTGAATTTTACGCTTCATCCGATCCGCAGTCTTCCCTCTCTCCTCGTGCCGGTCGCGCCAGAGGCCCGGTTTGGAAATCCGCTTGCCCTTCATCCTTGAAATGAATGCAGTCTTTTGAGACGAGTGTGCGCGGCGCGAAGGCGAGAACCACATTTAGGAAATGAACGGGGCTCCATGCGTGATGTTGTTGCGAACTTTGAAGACGAATGTACGCTGTGCTAAGACGAGAAGCACATTTGAAAACCAGCCGTCCTCCATGCGTGAAACTGTTACGAACTTTGAAACCGAATATGCGCGGCAATAAAGCGAGAGCTGCATTTCAAAAATGATCAGCTCTCCATCAGTGAAGCTGTTGCAATCTTTCAAGCGTCGGGGTCATCAATGGCGAGGAAGGCTCAGGCGAAACGCCCCGGCTCTCCAGACGTCTGGGGGTGCGACAAGGAGGGGCTATTTAGAAGGACAAGTGTTGGAGGCCTGGGGGTGATTTTTGCATCCCGAGTTGGTTTTCGGTCTCCCCTGGGGGCCTGGTGGGGCCCCCTAAGGGGCCAGAAGCGGCGAGAGGACCCTTCGTGTCGTGATTCTTCCGCTCCGCAAGGAGGTCTGGGCCCCTTCCCCGGCCTTCCTTGCGTCTCTCTTCTCGGGGGTGGCCAAAAGTGCGGTGATGACAGGGGGAGGTGGATATCTCTAGGCCTCCCAAGCGTCGGCGACGAGCGGGGGGGGGGGAAGTGAGAAGGAGAAGGCCTGCTCAGAAGGCGGCAGGACTTTTCAGAAGTCTTCCGGCCTTCCGAGAAGTTTTCGTGTCTTCGGGGAAGGTTTAGGAAGCTTCTCCGCGCACGTGCCTCGGGCCACGATCTGCGAACCTCCCTTCTGGACGCTCCCTTGCTGGACGCCCCCGATCTTGCCCGCAGGGACGCCCCCTTGTTGGACGCCCCCTCGTTCTCGTTGGACGCCCCCGACCTCGTTGCACGACCCCTTCTGGACGCCCCCTTGTTGGACGCCCCCTTCTGTACCCCCCCTTGTTGGGACGCCCCCCGTCTGGACGCCCTCGTCTGGACGCCCCCTTGTTGGACGCCCCGATCTTCCTCCTGCGGGGCGGCACGGCTGACCCCGCCGCCAGGCGCTGATCCAGTTCTTCGCCCGCCTGCCGCCGGAGACGGGCCGCGCGCCCAGCGCCCCCAGTCGGCTGCCGTGGGCTCCCGACCGGTCGGCGCCGGCCGGGCCTCCTGTCCGCGGACGGCTCGTGTGCACCGTGCTGCGTTGGCGTCTTCCTAGGCGTGGTCGATCCTCCTTCTCCTTCTCCTCTCCTCCTCCCTCCTCTCCGTAGCCATTTCGGCTCAAGATGTTTGCGCCCCGTGGCAGAGCACGCAGGCCTTTGGTCCAGGGCCAACGAGGACCCCGCTTTCACGCCTTCGCTGCGCCCGCAGCGTCGGGCTTCATACTCTTTGCTGCCGCATTCGCCTGCGGTCAGCCTCCATACCGCGCGCGTTCTCTCGAGGCTAGCGCGGGCCTCCTCTCATCAGCGGCAGAGCTGGACAGATGGGTTCGACGGGTGGTGAAGCCACCAACGATCTTGCAGCGCTCGGACGCAAAAGGAGAAGGTAAAGGCGGGCACATGGATCTCTGGGCTGCTGGCGCACAGAAACTACTTGCTTCAGGCTTCCCAGCTAACCGCCGGGAAGAAGTTCAATACCTCCTTCAAGCTCAAGTCGATCAGGCAGCCAAAGCGTTCGAATCCACTTCCAATAGGGTCTGCCATGATGCCCAAGCCGAGTTCATCAAGACCATCAGCCGCACCACAGAAGGGGCTCTGCAAAAGACAATAAGGAGTGGAAGGCGACGTGGTCCAACTCAAAGCTCGAGCCGACAAAGCTTCACACTTACAACTCAATGCTCATCTACGAGCCTCAGTGGACGACATCAAGTGGATCTTCGCTCTTGCAGAAACCCTTCATCCCTCCATCAGCATCGACAACCTCGGGAACTGGGACAGGAAACCCAACGCTGCTACTTCTTGGTGCGGATCCCAAGCGGAGTTCGACGCTACGGCCCTCAGACACGCGCCCACTGACTGGTTCACCGCTGCGAGCGTGGACATCAACGCTATCCGTCTCAACTCGGACGGACCTGGGAAGCGCATGTCGGCCATTCCTGCTGCTGCTGCTCTTCATCAAGCCCTGCGTCTCGGACGCGACTGGAGGACATTTACCGTGGCCGCAGTTGATGGCCCCGCGCCTTTGCACGTCTCGGCCGACAAGTCCCATCGCGCGGTTCGACCGGAAGTTCAACCCAGAAAGCTCAGCAAGCTCATCGCCGCCAAGCACCCCGACATCGCGCTCAGGATTCACCGCGCCAGCGGATACCTTTCGGTCAACGACGCCCCCTTATCGTCCAGGTCATCGCAGGTGCGACGCCAGAGGCTCCCACCAGGTTTCGCTTGTCTGACGCTGCTGGCATTCCCGCGTCTGAGCACGGCGAGTGCGGCAAGGTGCTCGTCTCCTTCGCAGACCCCGTGGCTTCCGTGCAGTGGCTGTAGCAGGAGGTGGTTACCATGGTTCGTCAAGCCGCAACCCGACGGCATGGACATCGTCTCCTGGAACGCTCGAGCTCTTCTTGGCCGTTCCTCATCTCGCCGCGCCATCAAGCGCGATATCCTGCTGCCCTGCACGTGGAAGCGGGCGGTCATTGCTCTGCGAGAAGCACGCGGGAATTACGCTGACCTCCAGAACTTCGGACTCTTCTCACCGCCCTTGCATCTCGCCCCATTCGGCCTGTAACGACGTCGACGAGAATGCGTGTTGCATCGGCTTCCTCGCCCCCTTATGACAAGAGCGAGCTGGACTTGCCTGCGGGCCAGCGACCTCGGCGCGACTTGATCCCGATTGTGATGGGCCGCGCCGCCGAGCTCCGCATCCTCGACATCGAGCGCAAGTGCGAGACCACCATATTCAGTGCGCACAGCCGCGGGCTGACTGCGACCGACCGCGAGCTCTTTACCGCAGCGTGGTCCGCTGCCAAAGCCCGCCTCGGCGCCAACGCCGGCGCGCGCAACCTGGTCTTGATCGTCGACTTCAAGTTCGTGGTAGAACTTGTCGTGCTTGGAGCTGAATATGAAGGCAGGAGTGCCCCGCTCCGCCGCAGGGCGCCGGGCGCGGGGGCGGAGCCGAAGATGAAGTACTTCGCGGTCGCTGGCGGGCTCGCCGGCGCGCTCGAGAGGGCGGGCGGCCGTCCGCGGTGAGGCGCGCCTCGAGGTGGCGCGTGGAAGGCAGGCGTGGAGATGAAACAGCGGTCGATCGTGGCCTCAGTCTTGTTGGCGGAGCAGCGGTGCGTCGTGGACCTCGTCGCGATCTCGACCATGGTGGAGAAAACCTGCTTCCAGTAAACTGGTTGGTCCTGGTATCTGTCCGTAGTGGACGCGCCCGCTGGGCGTGGCAGGCTCTTGGGCGGCAGCTCAGAGCCGCTTTGTGACCCTGTCTCGTTTGACCCTGTCTCGAAGTGGCGCGCAATGAAGCATTTCATGACCTTAGCGGCGCAGAGGACTCGCGGCGACCTGGCCACCATGCGCCCGTCCGAAGTTCGAGATGACGACCCTTCTATCAACCGCGAAGCTCGCGCTGCGACTCTCCGCAGCATCGCCCGCGCCGTCTGGCACCAGGATCAGCGCCTCGCCTCTCTCCTCGCTAGCGACACCTCTGCTGGCGCCTCCTACCTGTCCCTCGACAACGACCAGATCACCATCGCCGACATGGGCGCTTTCGCCAATGAAATTGACGCGACCCACCTCGCCATCGCCGATCTCCGTCGACAGGGGGCCGCTGCCCGTTCCCGAGCTGCTTTTCGAGAGCAGCGCCGCAACCTTGGGGAGAAATGGAGAGAGCGATCGCGTCGCGAAGCACAACGTGTAGAGCTCTGGAAGCCCTTCGCCAAGCGCCTCGTCTTCGCGGGCATCTGCATCTCCTCTGGCACCATCTACCATTCCGTCACCAACCCCATGGAGATGCACTCGGCCAGCCCATCGCACTGGAGCAAGGTCTTTGCCGCTAAGGTGGTCGACGTGCAAGCAATGGAAAGTTACCTCGACGGCGTCTCCCCGCAGCGCCCGTGCCTCGACATCCAGCCCCCCAGCAGCGAGGGCTGCGCGCCGCCGCGCGTCTGGTGCGTGACTCCGCGCCTGGACCCGACGGCCTCCCGTGCCGCGCGCGGCATCTCTCGCGTGGCAGCCTGGGCGTGCTTGCAGAACTGCTGCAGCACATGGCGCCGGGCCGTGCGATCCCCTACGACTTGAATTACGCCATGGTGGCCATGCTCCCGAAGGGCGGCGAGCCCCTCGGCAACTTCGAGTGCGCGCGGGCCCCCGACTGCTCCCGCTCCCTCGCCACGAAGAACAGCGACGTGAAACTGATTGCGTCTGCGACCACTCGCAAGCTTCACCGCGTGGCTGCCATGACCACCGACGAGCAGCAGGTCTTCGTCAGCGGCAGACAGTTCCTGAACAAAAATGTCCTGGTCGGCGCGATCGCCCTCCAGCTCATCATTGGCGAGCGCGCCGAGCAGCTACAACCCTGCTTCGCCGGCATTAACGTCGCCGCCGCTCCCCCCCGCCTTCTTTATGAGTGGCTTTGGGCTGTGTTGCGCCGCTTGGGGCTTCGCGGACCGCTCCTCGCGCTGCTGCAGGCGTGCTACCGCGTGCCGGTCGTCTTCCTCGAACTTGGCGGTCCCCGCCAAGTCTGGGGTCGCCCAGGGGCGCCCTCTGAGCGGTGTGCTGTGGGCACTCATCTTCGACGTCGTCATCCGTGGCATCAAGCACGGACTCTCTCGCATCGGGCGTGGCCTCATCAGCGCCTGCGCCGACGACGCAGGGATCGTCCTCGCCGCCCTCCACGACGTCGAGCTCCTCCTTTCCCATCTCCGTGCTGCAGAACTCTTTGCTGGGCTGCGGTAGCAGGCCAAGAAATGTATCATCGTCCCGACGTGGGCGCTCCCCGCTCACTTGCTGATCGCATCCATCCAATCCACGATCGCCGACATCTACCCACCATGCAAGGACGTCAAGATCGCCAGCCACGCGCGCTACCTGGGTGCGTTCGTCGGCCCTGGTGCCACGCTCTCCCTGCAATGGAAATCACCTGCTGGCAAGTGGTGGGGCAGGGAGCAGATTCTCGGAGAATCGCGCTCGCCTGTGCAACAATGCATCAAACTCTACAACGTCGCCGCCGCCACCTGCCTCTCCTGCGCTGGACAGCCCTACCCTCCATCGCCATGCTTCCTCGCCATGGAGAGTCACGCGCTACGCGAGCAACTACGAGCAGCTCCCTCCAGCTTCACGGAATTTGACATCTTCTCCTACGAGAGCTGGACGTGCGTGGAAACGCCGCAGGGTTTGGAAACTCTGCTTTCGGCTGCCATGTGGCGCACTGCCTCGTCCACTCTGACATCGTGGGCGCGCCTACTTCGCGAGCGCCGAGCAGTTGCAGAGGATCGTCTTCCTGTCTGCCAGGTCGTTCAAGAATATTGGTGCGCTGACTGCGGGGTGGACGAGCTTTCCATCGCGCAGCGCTTCGAGCAGATCGTCGCGGGCCAGCTCTTCCCGACCTGCAAGGGCTCCATCCACAAGACCTTGAAGCACGTGCTTGGTACTCCTCAGAGTGCTACTCTTTCCCTGGCAGCCGCCCATCGTCATGCGGCAGCCGCTGTTCGCCGAGCTCTCATTGGCAATGCACGTTGGCCTGGACGTGACGCGTCCCCCCACCATGGCGCGATGCAAAGTGTGGGTCGTGGCAAGGCCCAAGGATATGGGGAAACAGGCAGCGCGCAAATCGCCGCGGTCCGCCTACTTGCGCGAGCTCCAGGCCGCCCTCTACACCGACGACTTCGACAAGACCATCCTCGAGCGCTTGAAAGCTTGGTTTCCGCTCATCGGTGCGCTCCCATCTGCTCGCTCTCTCGACGAAGCCTTCTTCGCCGCGCGACCCATGCCGACGACCGCTGTGCCCTCGCATGCGCCCGCCGCCGAGCAGTCTTTCGCCTGCGTGAACGAGCGCGCGGAAGCGTGGGCCGCCCGATGGACCCCGAGCGTCTATTCAGACCCCAGCTACGACGGCTACCGCGACTGGATGGAATGGCGTGTCCCCTACCTCACTATCTGCCTCCGCCGCCCTCA